AAAAAAATGACATCGACTTTCTGTGAGAAATAGTCAACTTTCTGCGAAAATCTTGACGGAAATAACATTGATTTTCTGTAAGAAATTTAGCAGAAATAGAATGGATTTTTCTGTGAGAAATTAGGCAGAAAGCATCTTTGGTTTAATTCTATTCCAAGAAGTTTTCTGCTGAACTGAAATTTGAAATTACCACAGAAAGTGTTATAAAAAACTTTGGCAGAAAGTCCCACCCTAATCGAGAACCCTGCTACTACCTACCGAGAAATAAACCGCCGGTAGTTTGATACTTAAACGGTCAATTATCTTATGACCGTTATTGTACCACGGTATACTGGTAGTATTGTAAACAAATGGGCAGTCGATGTTGTACTTACGAAGAAACCTCTTGAGCTGCTCCATTTCGTTTTCGATGATGTTTTTTTGCCTATAGAAACTATAAAGTGTTCTAAAATAAAAGCGGTTTTTCGGAAAACTCCTATTTTCGAATTTTGATCCAAAACTTTTTGCATATAGAGAACTGAACTAGACAAGTTTTCATAAAAAAATTCAGAAGTCTCTTCAAGATATGAGATTATCTATCCAATTCTAATAGGTAGTGATGGAACACTTTAAGGGGGAACCTCCCCTTCGAAAGTCGATTTTTGGAAAAACACATCTTCTTGTAGCCCCAAGTGTCCTCTTTCAGAATATGTATAAATTATATAGGAATGGAAAATTTTGGCAAGTTTACTGGAGCTATAATGGAAAATCGGCTGTCTTGTTGATTTTTTTTTCTTAATTATCGGTACCTAATATCGTTCTATCTTCTTTATAAGCACTCTAAAACCATCACCGTATCGAGTAATCATGTTTTGGATATTGCAGTCTTATAAGAAAGGTTTAAAATTAGGCTATTTTTCGAAAAGATGGCGCTACAGTGAACTTGGATTCAGAAATCGGCTTATTTTTTTCTTGAAAATACTACCAAATGTAAGAACTTTTTATGCACTTTTTAGTGATATATAATATGCTCGAATTCTCTCTACAAGAACATCATCAACTACGTCGCAATGTTGTTATTCGTTTTTCTCAGCTTCACTTTTCTATCGTTTTCTGACCATTGCGGAACATTTTCCTAGTTCATCGCTTGATGTACGCTGCTGATTTTTTTGTTATTTAAAAGATGAGACTTTTTTCTAGAAATTGTAGGAACAGATTTTCAAAATATATCTCCATTGTTTAGATATTTGAAAATCTTTGGAAGTATTCAAAGCAGTTTTTGCGATTTTCGGTTTAAAATGATTACTACAATTGAACGAAAACGAATTTCAAAAAACTGTTCCTACAATTTCTAGATAAAAGATTTTTCTTCATTTTGAAACAAAGTTCAACATTTTTCATGCTACCGCGCATCGGGAAAATGTTCCGTGCCAAAACCCCCGTTTTCATGAGTAAATTGAATATAGCTCCTTAATTATCAAAAATGATTGGTTGAAATTTTTATCAGATGCTAGTTACATTAGCTTTTCTATTTCCTGAAATTTTCATCGAAATCTGTTGTATCGTTTAGAAGATAGATTTCAGAGGGGGGGGGGGGGTCTCCCTTAAATGATGATACTTACTTACAAACAATCGCTGTTTTTCATTGACGGATATCTTGATTTTCTATATGCTAAAAAAGGCAAGATATTGGATTAATAAGTATTATATTTTTTAGGTTGTTAAGATTAATCGTTTTTATACATTGATAATATTCTTTTAAAATTATATAAAAAAGATATGAGTACTACATATAAACAAAAACAAAATTTTTCGTAAGGTTAACAACCCATTGTATAATCGTCTATACCTTGAGGGCGCCGTGTCCCCTGCATTGAGAAAAAGGCAGTATAAAAACAAATTTTGTACAAATCATTTTCATGGTAAGATAGGGCAAAGCAAGGTAGGACGATAAAAAAGTACTCTATGACAGTCTCGGATAGGAATCGAAATCTTTTTTAAGATTTTTTGTTAGAACACTATGTCGTATCTATCGGAAAAGATTGTATTTTATTTTATAGAAATACTTTTGAACATATTTGTCTATGGGAACAACAATGTCAAACTTTATACAATGATATAAATGAAGCAGTTAAATATTTAGATACACTTCATGATACATATACGAAAGTATCGTATAAAACAAATTCTCTTTATCGAGCTTGTGAACAATTATTAGCTGATCAGACAAAATTATTAAATATAACAGAATGTATTGAAAATCGTTTATCTTATTTTGATGATGTTGATCGATTTTCTAAAGTAAAAATAATAATTATTTATTTTTTGTCTATTTTATTGATTATTCTTTTGTAGAATCTTTCGATAACTCCATTAGTATCTGATATAAAACAATTAATTCCAACTTTAACACGTATTGATGAATGTCTTGCTTATTTTGATACACATGTATGTTAATAATAAAAATATTTTCAAAAAAAATTTTTGTTTTTCTCTTTTTAGAGTTCATTTAAACAATCTCTTGTGTATAAAAATCAAATGAAACAAGTTTTATTAAAAGCATTAAATATTATTAAAGCACATATTATTCAAATATTACAAAATTCTTCAAATACTATTGATCCGAACAAGGTAGGTAAGTTTGAAATTTAACATATATTTATTATTATTATTCTTTTAAATTAGAATCATACACTTTTATCCGATGATGCATATACACTATTTTATGGACGATTTCGAATAAATGCACCAAAAGTAAAAGTATTAGCAGAAGAACTTGAACAACGTTGTACAAGAAATCCTGAGTAAATTATTTAATAGTATTTTATTTTATTATTATTTTTTATTTTCTTAGATATGAAAAGACATTATCGGATTGTCATGAATGTTATGCTAATCAAAGACGAATATTATTAACATCAAGGTTAGAATGAAAATTTTTTTTTTGTTTTAAATTTATTTTTTATATGAATATTTAGTGTGCAAAGTGCTATACAAGATTTAGCAACAAAAAATGAAAGAGATATGTGTACATTGGTAAATGAATTTTGTTTTTTGTTGAAACAATATATAATTGATATATTTAAATTAAAATAGGTTCGTAGTGGTTGTGCATTTTTATTGCATCTTTGTCAAGATGAATATCAATTATTTTATCAATTTTTTTCAAAACATTCAGTTTATTTGGAGTAAGTTATGAAATTTAGAAAAGGTCTTTTTACTTTTATTTTGTAGTTTCAAATCGAATAGAATTTGATAAAAGTTTTTAGACTTTGAAAAAGTTCATAGCTCAGAGATACGAAATCTACAAGGTCGCCGGATTGTGATAGCTTCCAAATAAAGTCGACAAAATATAGTTTTTCTGAAACGTAAAGTTCTCTAAGAAAACTCTAACAAATAGATATTTTTAAATTTCAATAGTTCCATTAAGTCTCAATAGGAATTCGAATAGTTTTAGGGTGTTCCCTAGAATATTATGCAGTATCTAAAAGCCATTGAAATCGGAAGAAGACAAGGTTTCCTCAAAAGTTTATTAAGCTCGATTTGATACATATTGATTACTTCGAAAATGAAGTAGTAGCATCCGATTGAATTATTAAATAATTATTGAAAACAAAAAGTGAAATAATATATAATATTTAGTCTATGTTTTTCTATTCTAGCACAATGTTATCTGGATTTTGCAATTTACTTTATGATAATCTCCGTTCTCGTATTATTCATGTTATTCATTTGGAAACACTTGCTGAACTTGTGACTATTTTAAAAGTTGAAATGGTTGAAGAACACGTAAAAAACAGTGGTATGAATATTAAAAAAAAATAAGATTTTATCTATTATTTCTTTTAATAATTTAATTTTTCATAGCTAAAGAATTATCAACATTTGAAACAGTATGTACACAAATGCTTGAAGATGTTCAAGAACGACTTGTTTATCGTACACAAGTTTATATACGTAATGAAATTCTTGGCTATAAACCATCGCCAGGTGATATTGCTTATCCAGAAAAACTTGAGATGATGCAGGTAAATATATACCAAAAAATATCTGTGAGGGATAAATCTAAACGGACCGAGAGAGAATATTGTTTCCAACTAAAACAATAAACTAAATAGACTTTAAAGAATATTGTTTTTTTAAGAAAATTGCACAATCATTGAAAGAACAACGTGTATCAAGATTAAATTCTCAATCTTCAGTTGATTCAACCAATGAAGTCTTTTTTGAAACTATACCTGGTACTGATCTTTCTGTTATTTCATCACCTATAACAACAAAAGATGGACAAATATCATCACCTGCTGATCTTCATGGTATGTGGTATCCAACTGTACGACGAGCACTTGTTTGTTTATCAAAATTATTTCGTTGTCTTGATGTAAATATTTAATGAAATTTTTATTTAATTGAAAAGAAAAAAAAGAAAAGAATTTGTTTTAGCGTAATATTTTTCAAGGTTTATCTCAAGAAACTTTAACAATGTGTGTTCGATCCTTAATAACAGCAAGTGAACTTATAACACAACGAAAAACACCTATAGATGGTCGTTTATTTTTAATAAAACATTTACTTATATTACGTGAACAAATAGCACCATTTAGTGTTGATTTTGCTGTTAAAGAAATGGTTATTGATTTTACAAAATTAAAAGAAGCTGCAATGAAATTTTTATCAAAAAAATCAAAATTATTATCAATGAATCGTGATAATGCTTTTTTAGAATTTCTTCTACAAGGTACATTACAAGTTAAAGAATCATTTATTGATTCAAAACGTGAAGTTGATAAACATTTAAAACAAACATGTGAATTATATATAGCTGATTTATCAAATCAATTATGTGGAACAATAAGACAATATTTACAAAAAGCACAAATTATTTTAAAAATGAATTTTGATCAAAATAATAAACAAAAAGTTTCATTAAGACAACAACCATTTGCTAAACCTGAAATATTACATGAACTTATTATTGAAAATTATAATTTAATGAAAAAACAATTACCAGATATATTTAAAATAATGTCACTTTATTTAGCAAATAAAGATACAGAACAAATATTATTTAAACCTATTAAAGTAGGTTTTGTTTGACAAACAATATGAAAATTTTCTAATTAGAATTAAATAATTATTCATAAGTTTTTCGTATTCGATAGCGAGCACACTCTACACATTTCTCCAGCGACTAGAGTCTATCGAATCTCGAACCAATCCAATGAGCTCTATAGTTTTAATCCACTACTCCCCAGATGAAAAACATACTAACAAGATATAATTGTACGTTGAAGTTTTTTTTCGGAGAGCGGCAAATAAATCGCTAAAATCTTGATTCTCTACTTGTTCATGTACCTGGAGGAAGACACGTATTGATGGAAAAAACTTCGAGTTTGTACCCAGCCCCCTAGTTGAGAGCGTGGATAAGAACCTTACTCAAATTCTTAAAATTAATTTTTATGAAACTTTTCTCATAGTCATTTTCATTTGGATACGTTAAAAACTGTTTGACACCAATTGAACTCCTAGTTTATCCATATGCAGAACTCGTTGAGATTAGTGGAAGTTTAAAGTGATTTGTGCTTGTGCCATTCG